ACTTTTGCTAAGTGTGAATGACAATTTATTCACAATTGTAACATTTATTAGGGTTGAGTTCTGGACGTTCATAAGACAGAACAAGTATAGAGTAGTATGAACATTTGCACCAGAGTCCAATATATTAATACAATGTAGTAGTAGTAGTAGAAGCAGTAGCTGTTTACCTATACTTTTTCTTTTGAGCTTCTGTTGTTTTGCTTGTTAAAGGATTTCAGCAGTCTTTTGACATATGTTTGTACTTATTACAGATGTAGCATTTAACTTTATTATAAGGCTTTGTTTTGCCTTTAGCTACACTTTTGCCTTTTGTTTGTAGACTGTCTCATTCAGTATCTTGTTTTGTTTGAGAGTACTGAGAATGATACTTAGTATATGTGTTTTGTAATTTGTGTATCAACTTAGCTGGCATTAGAACGTCTTTCTGAGCCACTGTAACTGTTAGTAGTTGATTATAATAGGTAATCTGCCTGTCTAGCATTATTGCTACCCATCTATACTTACAAGGAGTAGTAAGGTTAATCACTGAGATGTATGTATTGTTATTAGAGGCTTTATTATGTACAGACAACTGTCTATAGATTTGTTCAATGTTGTCTAATGTCTTATCAAACTGTAATACATACCCTTTTACAGTAAACAATGTAGATATGTCTACAGTATGTGTCATCATTGTTTGAACATTGTATTGTTCAGAAAGCACCTTTATAAGACTTCTAACACTTGTATGTGTTGTAAAGTTTGTATAAATTGTATCAGTTATTGTTTTCGTTATACAATAATACAAAACATTGCCCATACATATGCCAGCATCATTAGAGGAAGGGGGATCATACTTTAGATGGTCTGAGAGCATCATGGTAGCAAGTGTACTGTATATACACAAGTGTTATATCTTGTATCCCTTCACACTAGCCAACTTTTCTGTTCCCTCAAAGAACTTCATAATGTCAGAGTCCTTCATTATAGTGTTAACAAAGGTATACATTGTAGACAACATTGTAATAGGTTTAGGGGGAGAGGGAGGTCTAGGGCTTGGTGGTCTAGCAGGAGGCAAAGGTGTTCTGTAAGAGTAAGTGTGTAAAGGCATTCAATAGGTACTAAGGCTCATAACCTTTTAACAAGTGTAGCAGGAGTGCCCTAAGTACTCTCTCTTATTGAGACATCAAGCAAGTGTCTGCCTTATATACTACATAGTGAAGTCTGATAGTCTGAGACATTCTAAGTGTAGTAACTCTACATAAGGCAATTAGGGATTTCCTAATCCAGAGCACAATCTAATAGACTCAAAGGAGAGTAGGATTAGATAGAGAGGATAGTTGAGTAGCAGCTCAGACTAGGAGGGTATTGATTGAGTAGTAGCTTGAACTAAGAGTAGTATTAAGGTAGAGATTAGTTTTTTAACTCTTATGTTAGAGAAGATGTATTCTCTAAGTTAATAGTACTCTTAAACTGTAAATATAGACTTACAGCCCTTAATCCAACTATATTCCTAAAGCTACCAGCTAGGATTTATACTAAGAGAATGAGTAGAAATACAAGAAGAGTCAAAAAACTAAGGAACTACTATATCTACAAACTGCTTTTTATAATAACTAAATAATAAGAGTAAAGTAAGGAATGAAACTTGAGAATAAGATTAAAGAAATAATAAGGACAAATATTATAAAGCTAACAGGCACATCAGAGGCCAGGAAGAATTAACAGAGCATTACACATTAGAGAATATAGGCTAAGAGACTATTGTACAAAAGAGGCACAAGTTACTATATTGAGTAAGAAATAGATTAACTGTGTTATAATTATATACACTACCTTGTGTCTCTATAGCTCTCTCCTGTGCTCAATACTAAGACAATCTCTATAAAACTTTGTAGAACAATAGATAAGATGTTAAGGATTATGAAAATCCAGTAACAATGTTGGTTTTTTGCAAAACTGACAGAGATATAAAGAAAATGAAATAGGTCCAATCCTACAATCCTAACAATGTAAGATGTTATTATTATAACATATCTCTGTAGTGTAGAATAAAGTAGTTCAGTATTTGAATATATTATTACTAAGTACTTATTACAGTTAAAGTAACTAGTCTGTCCAAATTGTATTTTAATAAATTAATGTGTGTTTAGGATACTTAGACAAGTGTGTCTAAGTCCTTGTAAATAGTATGTTCTGATTACAAATATTGTAGCATGTGTTGTGTTATGAGGCAATTGTAGTCTTCAGGACAAGACAATTCACATTTGGTATACTCAGATAGAAGCACTAAAGGTTTATAGACAAATAGAATAGATTATACATATAGAATCAAGTAGATTCAGTATTAAATAGAGTAGATTAATAATACTTATTAAGAGTAATTTGATCAAGTGTATCAAATTATTAGTACTATAGTAAATAGTACACTAAAGTGTCCAAGGTAATTGATTGTAGCACATATAGTCATACATATAGTTACTAGGGGGAAATCATAATTACTGAGACAATGATTTCAAAGTATTACACTTGTAGAGGATAAAATAAAAGTGTAGTAGCAATTTAAATATAAGTAGGGAGTGTAAGGCTCATAACCTGTTAGTGTATTGTGAATTTCCCTAGACAATAGGAAATATTCTTCTGTAGGTTTGCACTCAGAGTAATACTAAGAGTAAGTCACACTAGTAGGAGTTTAGTAGACTCTACTTATAGTATATAAGTGTTAATTCAAATTGACTAAGCTTTATAGTCTGTAAATTAAAGTAATATATATACTATATAATATTGAATGTCTTGAATGTATGTCTCAGAAGACATGTCTCTACAATAGTGTATATTTGTAAGATGTTTGTGTGATTTGAGACATATAACACATTTATCCAAAATAAATGTTAACAATATCTTAAGGTTTATAACTTAATAGCTTAGCTTAATGACAGTTTTAGGCTTTAGATACAGTCTGAGCTGAGACAGAAGCTGTTTCCCTATACAGCTTGTACTCTCTAATTCTATTACATTCCTTATATGTGTCTACTTATTCATTTGATAGTTTAAGACATTCCCTCTCTAGTATTCTAAGTATTTTAGCAAACTACTCAGCCTTTAGTTTCAAAATAACTCCTGTAATCCTAAGACAGTCTTATACAGTTGAAACAAAAAGATTGAGGGCCTCTTTAAGTTGTGGATATATTACAGACTTAGAAAGCAAACATTTGTAGAAGATTTGATTAGAATTCTTTCAGACTGTCTCTTAAATATATATTACATTTTGAATAATAGTATGTACAGAAGACTGGTGCAGCTTAGGAAAGCAGTCTCTAAAGTGCTCAGCAATTTTCTCTTAAGATAAGGATTTGCTAGACCCCTCTACAAAGTCTAAAATCTTTAATTTATTTCTATAAGTGTATACAACACACTACTAAGTTTTTATAACTACTATACTAGATTACTTACCTAATTTCTGAGACTTTTGATGCTTCAACTTTAGTACTTTGCTATGGGAGGGATCCTTTAGTAGAGATGTATTGTAGACTGTACTCATTTGTGAATGAATACTAGTGGAAGCATAGATATTTGGAAGTAGAGCTAAGAGATTAATAGAGGAAGCATCTCTAGAATAAGTGAAAACAATTTTACTAGCATCCTTGAGTGTTCTATCTGGGTTCTGTGTACATCTAAGCTCCTCAGACATGATGAACAATAAGTTTTAATAGTGGTTTTCATTACATTATGCATTTATTTCACAAAATGGAGGTGGCCTGTACAAAAAGTGGCTCTCTCTGGGTTATAATCTGTACTGTCACATGACTCAAAATTTCCTTTAATTAAGCATATTCTTGATCTTACACCTTAAGACTTAATGCTTAATGCCCTTTATACTTAATATATCTCTATTTTCCTGCCTACCAACTTGGTGGATCAATTTTTTCATACTTATTGAGAGAAAATGCTAAACTACAAGTATGCTTATTGACAGGTTTTACTGTATGATGCATCCAGAATTTTTGATATGTATTACTCCTTGCTGCCCGCCTTATGGCTCAGTAGTCAGTACAGTACATGTGCATTATTTTGACTTTCTATTTCTGCATCACAATCAAAGATGTCTCTTACAGCTTGCTGATAGTCATTCTTCTCTCATGGACATATATCTTTCTCACTGACCATTGAAATCCCTCCAATAGCTTTGCTATGCTCTTGTGCTGTATCTGTTGAACGACCTGAATTCTTTAATAACATGATATGCCTACCTCACTAACATTCGAAACCAAGTTTTCGAGACTCTAAGTTAGGGGGCGGCAAGAATCTGTTAGTCAAGAATCACTCCCTTATGTACTGACAGAATTAGACTTTCAAGTTCGTGTAGACTTACAACTTTGCTCAAGAAAATATCTACAACAGTCTTGTTTATGGACGTACGGAGTACAGATTAGAATGCAAAGCCGGCATCGTATATGTACAGAATTGAACCTAGGAGAAAACCCCAATGTCGTGCGAGTTTGGCATTTCAGACTGGATAATTCAGGAGACTAGTGTTCTCTCTATGTACCGTTCGATTAAGTATAAAGACAAGACTGCAGAGATCAATACTTCCGTTAATATCGTTATCGTTAGAGAGCAACGCCAAGATAGTAATGACTCTATACAGGAGCAGGTGGAATCGGTCCGAGAACAACTCGAGGTTAAAACGCCATTTTTGATGACTTGAGTTGTATGGTAGGAATCGTCTTGAAGACGACAAGGATGGGGGTAGCAGTAGCGATGAAGAGTATCCACGAGTAGACTTCTACGTCAGACGGTATGATATCGAAGGATTGGAGGTGAACATCAAAAGTGACGTCCAGTCAGAGGGACGTCAGCTTGAGGTATCTCATATAGTATGCTAGTTAAAGCACCCAGTTTCCATCATACGTTTATCTTACACGCCAAGGTAATTGAGAATGACTGATAGGTTTGAAATCAAGTCCCGGCTAGTCGGATGCGTGGAATCAAAGGGCAGAAATGCAACCGCAAACGCGGCATCACTCATACATATAGCACATAAATCCCCCTGTCGTATTCATGACGTTGTAAATTGTTGTTTCATTGAACATACCGTCCGCCAGCATCGTGTCATTAAGCTGTCGCGACACGAAGGGTTGAATTTAGACCTACAGTCAAGGGCACGAAATATGATAGTATACGTACCGATAAGAAAGGAGGTGCGCCATTCGGATACTGATCATAATAGGTAACATTCTTTGTGCCTTGCACAGTACCACCAAAGAACGCCCAGAAGTTCTCCGAGTTCGCATTTTTCCAATCTGACCATACCTTATCCACCATCTGGATGACACTGTTTAGCAACATGTTATCCTGTCATGACAAATTAACATACTGCATGGTGCATCCAGAAAAGCAGCTCTATGATAACACGGTTAATCATTGTGACAGATATATGATATAGGATATGCATACATTTGCAGATCAAGTAGGTTTATTTCCCGAACCGCCTGGATAGGCACCTTGCGGGTAAGTGCCACCTAGATCACTGAATAATTGGATGAATACGACGTTTTGAACTGAAAATGTATTTTCAGGTGCGGTCCACCTGATGACGGAGGGGTAAGCGTCGCTGTGCTTGGTTGCTACCATTTCGATCTTTTCGCAGATCTCCAAATAGTAAAAATGAAGTACCATGTGCTCCCTGCGTCTTCTCGAAGTCCGCCTGAAAACCGACGAAATCTTCGACGTGTCCATCTACCAATGCTCTCATGGCATCGGGCATGAAAGTTGCATTTGCGTATTCGAGGGGATATCGATTGAATCCGTTGAGGTCTTTCCAAGGCTGTAACGAGAAAATGCGTCGTAAAATGTGCGAGTTTGGATACGCAATCATGGAGTCGCTAAATACGCCACCCGTGACACTGAAGTCCTTGCTTGGTTCACTCCATCCGCCAATCCCACTGGCGGGGCCAGATCCTTTGAAGAAATCTGAGTCAAATACATCGGCAGAGTCTGCGAATTCTTATGAGTCGAGGAAGGGCTTGATGAACAAATAAAATAAAGCTATGGTCCAGTTCCAATATGATGAAACACCGGTGTATCTGCACGATTCTTTAAGCGCCTGTTCGTAGACAGCGACATACCATCTGTGCCACGGAAGGAAATAGCCGGTGACATGGATCTAACAAACTAGTATGTGAGGTTCGAGCGCATTGCTTCAAAATGTAGAGATCCACACCCTCGTATTGAGATCCATGTGCATGTACACGAAATCTAAAGAGGTCTACTTTGAGGAGTCTTCGCATTGTCTCAACTTCAAGGACACCCTTACCATCATAGTATGTCGACGACGCGTTGACACTTGGAATCAATGACACAGACGGATCAAAAAGCATGTCAGATGATGCAATCCAAAACGGATCTACTCTAATATGCAATTCTGACCTTCACAGCTGCAATCCATTCTGCTTTCTTGCTGGTATTATATTGTCTCCATTCGCAACGTTGTGCAGATATGTATCTTGTGGTCAGAACCAGGGGTAGTACTGAAAGTGTAATGACACAATCCCGAACAGTGAAACCAGCCATAACAAGAAGAAAGATACTGAGTAGGTATTGTACGCAACCTTCGAAGTATCGATGCTTTTTATACAGGGCATTGCATGCTTTGATCTCTTGACATATACGTCCATTTTCTCGTACATTGCATCCGACGACGGCCTACTCAACTGGGCACATGGTATGCGATCACCGAGGCCAGACATGATCAAGAGTCAACGGTAACTAGATTAATCATCGTTGATCTCTTGTAGGTTTGGGGAGAAGCCAATGTATGCCTGATAAGTAGCAAGAAGGATCTCGTCAGTATTCCTCGCCGAGCACCTCGAGAGACTTCATGGTGAGTTTAGCAGAGTCGGCGAGCAGGCCCACACATATGTTTCAGCTATTTGATCCGCCTTTCGGTACAATACATGTTGACCTCGGCATTCGAAGAGAGTGACGAGTCTGTAGTATTTATTGTGTCCCTTCCAAGCACTTCTCGGTATTATGTGGCATCTTTGGATGAAGTATGATCTGTTGCCGTCATCGTCTCGATCTAGGGCACCTTCGCCACTTCCGTTGAATTCTTCTTCGCGATGCGTTCGGATAGTAGAGTGCCAGAGGCCGAACCGAACGCAATTTTTCATTTTAGTCGCGGCATTCCACGTGACCTAAAGCCACATACTGTGTCTTACTTAAATTGACTGGATCACTGTCACTGTATATCCGCGATTACATTCAAGTTGTCACTCAATTGCGCTAGTAGCTCCTTTCCAGAGCTCAGCACTGTCGGTGGTCTGATTTTGACTTGCACGACTGGATAGGCCTTCGGAATCGGATAATACAAATCCTTACAGCCGAAGACCCGAAACCACCTTCAAGTTTGTCCTGGATAGTAGTGTTACCTTTGACGACTCTAGTTTCAACCTCGCCTTTGTCGCTGAGCTCAATGTCCACCTCTCATACACTCGAACACAGGTTTTCCGGACTCCGGGTCGACGAGTCCGACAACCGAGAGCCGCCCCCGTACGTGATGTTAACCTTTTCAAGTTTGTACAAGCTTATACATAGGTTTCAAAAGAAAATATCTACAGCTACCCTATTCATGGGTATATGGCGTGCAAATAAAGACGAAAGATTGGCACCGCATAAGCAAGGACTTCAACTGGCCTTGGGAGGAAGACCCGATGTTGTGTGAATGTGCGATTATGGACTGGGTCATTCAAGAAACTGGAATTCTCTTCAAGTTCCGAACAGTCAAATATAGAGACAAAACCGCAGAAATCGTCACGTTCGTTTTTGATAACGAACGTCGCATGGATGGTAGCAGATACAAGCAAGAGCAAATGGACGCAGTCGCGTACTTTTCGCATCCAGGCCCTGAGTCCCACGGCCCATTTTTGGTTAGCTCCAACTGGCCACATGTAGTTACACTCGCATTTCACTAAGTCAAAAATAAAGTACTTTTCCTTAGAAAATACATGTTCCCCTCCCCCAATCCCAGCTAACACCCAACTTAACACCCAAACCTAACAGCCCAAACTTACCCTAAACCTAATTGGGGGGGCTCTGCCCCCCCAAGCCCCCCTCCTAACTTCTCACTCTGGTTATGACAAGGGCCCCCATCTGCAAGAATTATGTAAGTGG